CGACTTATCAGATATGCTATCACTGCTCTTTGTAAAGACAATATTAACCTGTTTTTCACTTAGCAGGAAAAGGTTTCAAGATTTTCAGTCTAAAATAATCACCTTAGAAAGATTTCTATTGGCCACGTTACATTAAAATAACATTTGTGGCAAGTCATAGATTACAAACATTTTTTCTAGAACATATTCATGGTATGTATACACGGACAAGAAAATAATAAAGAATCATATAACTAGAGCTCGGACGGAGGTATCGGTTCCCAGTGAAGACTTTTATGCAGACATACAATTATATTGTAAACATTCCCAAACAACAGAAAAACAGAAATATGACATGATAAAGTGAATTTTATTTCATTTTAAAAAAAAATGTTAATACGTAAATTAGTTTTATCGGAAAACTTACCTACTATATTAAATAAAAACGTAATCTTACATTTAGAACATATATTAGTAATATACTTATATTCTTGTTGGTAACTGGTAGTGAAAAATACTTATGTGTGTGTGTGGGTGTTAGTTTAGTGTTACACCCCCCCAGTACCTCCAGTTCTCTTCCAATGAGCGTTTGTAATAAATTGAATTTATCAATTTTAAACATAATGGAATTCGCTAAAGAAATTATAAGGTAAGATATATTGTGTCATACATGCATGAACATATCTGCACTGACACATAACCCATAGCTAATCCTGGTTTTGACGTCATCAATACCTAAATTCCGAGCTCTAGTCATAACAGCATATATAAGTAAGTATGTAAATAAAATGAGATAAAATTTATAGAATTAAAATTATAAAGGTAAAATTAATTCTAAAAAGAAAAACGTTGAAGTCAAATCAGGGGATATAGTTGGCTACTTTCTTGTTATATTGTCTATCTGTTGATCTATTTACCAAAACCTCAAAATATCGAACAATTTAGCAATAAATTGCAATTGGGCATTTTATCATTTTTCCCCCGCTAAGTATCACTAGGTATGTGTGTTGTCTCCTATTTCCTTCATTACAGACCTGACAAAACTCAGAGTTGAAAAACTTCCATAAAAAGTAATAACTGACTGACTGAAATTAATTTGTAAATTGAGTCCTTTTCAGTCCTTTGGAAAACAAAATAAATTATAACATTCTTTGTTACATTTTACCAAAATAGACATGCCAGGAGAACAAAATGTATAAATAGCACGTGCCTGACAAAAAAGGTCAGGTTAATATTGGAAATTCAATTCAATGTCATGAATAGAACATATACGAGACAATACTTATTAAGCCGGTCACATTACATCACACAAGGTGACAAAAAATAAATCAGTATTTTATCTCGTGTATATATTTAGACGGTATATTTTGAAATAATTAATTTTCGTGAATGCGTCAAAATAAGACATAGGAACTTGTTTTCATTATTACGCACGTGAATAAAATTTCCATTTCATAATTAGTTGCAAAAAACGCTTCGTACTAAGCTGTACTGCATTCTCATACTACTATTAAAATGTCTTTGTAAAACAGTAAAAATTACTAAGAGAAACAGAGAGTCCTATTCCTCTAAAACTAAAATCCCTTAAAATAAGTAGTAGTAGTAGTAATTCGTTTCAATAGGGCAACTAGACCTAGGCCACAATTGGCCCATTTACCCAGGGACCTACAGTTTAGCGTGGAATTCGGAACCACGGTCGTTAGCTGCTAACTAATCCGTTGCTTGGGCAAGCCTTTTGGGTACGTCTTTTCGAGATCCTCCAGCTGAGCTCGCCCCACCTTTTAAAATAAATTAAAGGAATAAAATTACTAAAATTCACTACAAAAGTAGCGCAGAACTCACAGAAGCCAACAATTACGAGATTAATCAATGTCAGATTACTTTTGTGTGCGTAGTATACGAATACGGAACAGGTAGAGTGCATAAGTGCAATCTAGCAACAAGTAGGAGTCCAGTTACTAATATTAGGCAAACACATATCAGCGACTTGAAAGGAAGACCATCTAGCGGTATCAGCTTGTTGCAGTCAACTTGGAAATAAGTCGGATTAGGCGAAATACGAGTATATAAAACAAGATACATCCAAGATAATACAAGTAGAGGTACATGGTATATGTATTTTGGCAACACCGTACGCCATCATTTAAAAATACACCTACTAGTAAACGGTTCATTTGTCAAATCAAATTGTTTTAATTTCCATTGTATAACGAAATGGGATGGCCTACCGTCATTGTTTAGAAAGTACAATCAATATCCGACAGTTTTAAACAATACACTTATATAACAAATTTGTTAGCCAATTTAAATAATCTATAAAAGAAACTGTTTGGAAAGTAATCAACATTTAATTCGATCACAGAGCAATGGGATTAATAATAAACCAATTTAACGCCAACTTACACGCCTGTTTTGTGTGGTAGTAGGTCTGTAAGTTACTTAGACTAGACGGAGGAAGTGGAGTAAAAAATAATTGCTACATCTACAAGAACGAAGCCGGCAGCAGCAGTCGGCGCGGCGTTGAGACCACAAATACAATTCTTTAAATTCCAAATCTTCTAAAGTTTATTATTATTTTTTTTGTTTAACACAGCTTCGGAGAGCAAGATAGCGGAGAACACTTAGAAAAGCTAACCTAGGAATCTGTGTAGGATGAATAATAAGGGAAAATTATTAGAGGATGAATTTTTAAAAAATACTTTTGGAAATGTCAAAGCCTCCAGTGCTCAATAATTGTTCGAGGCTAAGTATCCACGCCCTGGTGAGTAAAATAATTACAAGGGGATGGATGGATGTGTTTCCATGTGTTTTTTCCCTGAAGGTACCTCAAGGCACCTTGTATGGGAGAGGGCTATACGTTTAGAGACAATGGGCGCACACCCAATGTCCGAGTATGCTAGGATTAATTTCTGGTCTAGAAAAAATCCTAACTCCTCGATCGGGAATCGAACCCGGGACTCCCGGGTGAGAGGCAAGTGTTCTTACCACTCGACCACGAAGCCACTGCTGAAGCTAATAATGGAATTTTCTTGTGTAATTTTGGAGAAGAATATCCTCAAAACGATAGGAGGTATCGAGATGCGGTCTTGAGGATTTTATTACAAACTTCATCAGAAATAAATTAGCTTAACGATAACATTAAACTACGATTGAATCCGTTGTATACAGGGTACAAAACTCTTGCAATTTTTCAAAATTTCATTTGTTCCGAAAATGTAAGAAAACAGTAGTTGTAAGTTTTTATTTATCATATTAGAATGATCTATGGACAAATGGGAAGAAATGTGTTTTTTTTGATGTCTTTGACAATTCTAGAGATACAATTTATTTTCTGAAACTGAGTCACACTTTTACACAACACTCTTCAGTGAGCAGTTCATTTTCAGAAAAAAAATTGTATCTACATATGTCAGGGATATTAAAAAACACTCAATCAGTTTGTCCCCATTAGTCCTAACATGACAAACGAAAACAGAAAACTGCTTTTTTTATATTTTCGGAATCATTGAAATTTTGAAAAATCGTAATTCATTCACAAAACCGCATTTCAATATCTCCTATCGTTTTGAAAATATTCCTCAAAGTGACACAAGAAAATTATATTATTAGTTTCTTTTGGTCAGCAGTGTATATCAGTTATATCTATTGTAGTTTCCCCCTTTCCGGTTTTGTGGTTCTTTTTCATTATCTTCCTTTGTCTTGGCAATAAGCTGTAAACATTTTTTCTCATTTTTTTTTAGCGATAGTCTGTTGATTTTGAAAGTTGTAACTGTTCTTGTTCCGTACATTATAATGGGATGTATTTCATGGGCATTGCGTTCGCCAGCTAGGTTTATTTTCTCTATAAAAGTAGCATTACTTTAGGTTATGAAGGGATGAAAACTGATTTTTTTTTTGTAATTTTTCCTGTATCATAAAATTAAAGTACGCGGTGGAACTACACATCGTTTTACGAATTCTGTGACATTGTTTTGTTTTGTTAATAATACACTTTTTTACATTGCTGAATTTTCTGCAGTTAAACTGACTAAATTAGCAGTGTTACATATTCGAAAAATATGTTTATTTATTTCTTTACGTTAGTCTCCATTTCTTAGAAAGAACCTTCAGCAAACACTTAAATATTTATTAACTGACATATGTTAATTATTAGTGTAAACAAATAAACTTAACAATCACATGTATATTCAGTTTTATTATCATTAATCACATGAATTTATTTTTTACGTATTTGTTCTAGTTTTATTCCATAAGTAAATCAAGGTCGCCAGAAAGGAGAAACGGGCGACAAATGCTTTTTGACGTGAATATAGAGATCTAGATTCAATTGTAACAAATGAATAACCAGCATTTATCGAAACTTGAGAACTGAAGAAGTTTCAGTAACGTAGTCCCTATTCTTTTTTGTTTTTCTGCCATTAATATGTGCACTTTAGTTTCTTCTACCTTCGACTACTGCAAGAATACCAGAACCGTATTTTTATGAAAGCTGCTTGAAGATTAAGTTCTGTTATTACGTTAAACCGCTGTGAGTGCGGTGGAATTGGGGCAGGACCTATTAAATGTAAACATCTGAGGTAGGTACTTAAGTATTGTAGGTTTGGGCAAACATGACTCACGAGTGAATTTCATAATTTCGGAACACGGTTGGCCTCTATCACTATTGAATTATTATTAATCATCACCAGATAATGTTAAGTTGGCTAGTGTGTTTAGTATAGTAAGCAGAATCTTGGTATTACCCATAAAAGAGTTTTCCTACCTCTCAATCAAGGCTAGCCTTTTATTTTTGAAATAATCAGAATTTGAAACAAAATTTTTTTTACGTTATTTAAAGACATTTCACTTACAATGATTGAGATATCACCCACAGAAGAATACTGACAGGCCACTGTTCCGACTATTGTTATTTTTTAACGTCATATTTATATTAACGTTCTGGCGGAATTTAGCACATCGCTGTTCCACCACTCGACCAGGACAGAGACAAACACACACAACAAGCACCCATATTTGCCAGATGAGGCAGCTGAGACTCGAACTCAGGAGAAATATTCAATGACTAGCCGTGTTTTGTCAAACAACAACACTTTAGCCAACTGTGCTACTGTCTCGGTATTATAAAAACGCCATATCCACGCCCTAGCCAGGATTCGAACCCGGGACCTTTTGGTTTCAAGCCTAACGTATGAGCATTGAGCTACTGGGTGGATTTTTTTATGTATAGATAGAGGATCCAGTACAGTCTCTTGAATGTTCACAGTCGGTCATTTGATGGCTCACATAATATTCATTGAGTTTGCTCCTCACTCCCTGAAATTATCATTACCAGCTGATTCGCAGATATGCATTTTTAAATATGTTTTTTAGGTTAATTAAGGTTAGAAAATCTGTTTTCATTAAACTTTTGAAGTCAACAGCTTCTCTTCCTTTGATATTGTTTATTTTAAGAATTTCTTAACCACCGACTCAGTGGAGTAGTTGGCTAGAGTGCGCGATGGCAAGTGTGACTAGCAACCTTTCTAACATAGCTGCGGGTTTAATTTCCATCACTGTTACCAGTATTATCGGTGAGAATGGTTGTGCGTGTCTGCTCGTGAAGCTTCGGCTTTGGATTCGGGGATTGTCTAATTTCTGTGGTGATTATTATTATTATTATAGATAAGGCATTCATTTGCAAAAGAAAGAGAAACACGAAAAGTGCTGGAGGCCAGAAGTCAAACCACAAGGTAAAAACTAATGACATTTGACGAAAAAAGTATGCGTATACAGAAGACCAGGGCTATTCTAAAAATATAATTAGGCAACACACGGTGACTAAAGTAAAAAATGCGACGAACACATCGGCCAAGTTTTACAACTGACGAAAACATTTCAGTTAGCTTGGAGTATTTATAGTAAAGTTCTGTAAGAGTTACGACACCATAATATGTATGTGCTTTATCTCTTACAAATAAAATATATAAACGAGTTTGTTTTTTACAAGGAAATCTACGTTTGGCGCAAAAAACAACAACAGACTAGACATAGCACTTTACGATACACGATTTGGGTAATAATTATCACCGCACGAAAAGTTTGAAGAGATTTAAATTCCGATTAATTTGATACAGTGTAATGCAAACCAGAGATTTGTTAGACACCTGTTTGCCACGACTTGCAAAAACAAAACAACGACTAGAGCTAATCATTTTCTATTTTCCAATAAGGGACATCACTGAAATTGGAAAAAAACATATTTTTGTGTTAGTATTCTTGATTCTAAATCCTAATAGTCGACACTAGCATCGATAGTAGCTGTTCATATACAAAACAATTAAACACGAACTATTCAAATTTAACTTGTATTGTAACATATGATTAATTTTTTTACCCGAAAGCCGTTGGCATTGTCGCCTCAACCGAAATGCAAAATGAAATTAGGAAAATAGTTGCTCGTTCAAGAAAGCTTCCATCTTTAATGTCGATTTATCCTTTACACACTCCCATTTACAAATATCTGGTAAAGCAATAGACTTATGGAAATTATGTTTTGTTAAAAATAAAGCATTTATGATCAATAAATAGCCTTGCATTAAGAGCACACATTTTAATACCACAAACCATTTCACTGATGGTGCTTCAAGACGTACACTTTATTCAATGAAAACTTGCAACTCATTGTGGTTATATTTTAACCGTAATTTTCTTCAAAACACTATATACTACTATTTTTATACTTATGAAATTTCCTAACTTTCAAATGCATCCAGTTTTCTAGTATTTGTTACATTCCTAATTAATCTTAAATTATTACTATCTATTTTATGGTTATTCTCAAACGCATGTTGGGCAGCACTAGACTTATCTGCTCTACCATCTTTGAGATGGGCCATATGTTCTTTGAATCTAGATTGAATTGATCGTCTAGTCTGTCCAACATACTTTTGATTACAATTTTGGTTGCAAAACGACGGCGCTACTAGTCATATCTCAAGAATATATATGCAAATTATTTGACAACCATTCCCAAATCGACTGATTTCTCGTAATTTATTGATCCTCGACATCTCTGGATATGTTACTTTCTTTTTGGATTACTTAATGAGTATACGAAAAAAAATCAGGAAACTGAAAAGGATGAAAATATACTGCCTATATGAAATCCAAGCGAATTCACAGAATATGCTTTTAGCTCGTCATGGCTGACAGAAGTGCGTATCGAGTCAAATAACCTTATCGACCCGGACAATATTTTGTAAATTAATCTCTTATTTAAGGCATTAGATTGTTATTCCGTTTAATGTGTGTTGCTTTCCGTAGTTGTTTTGATGAATTTGCCAGACAGATACAATTACATTTCTAAGATTAATATTATTGCATTTTTTTGACCATTTCTTTATAAAACTAATCAAGCAAAACTAACATTTTCCACTTATTTACAGTTATACTTGTGATGAGAACATAAACAGCATTTAGATCGCCTTCAAATAATTTAACGGCAATGAACTTTTACACCCATTTGACTATTTAAAAATAAACATTGTTGTTTGCCCTTTGAGCAAATTAGAGCGAGGCATTTGTTTCATAGTTATTATGGACAGCATCCAACTTGTTTATTTGTTATATAATTAGATTAATTATAAGAATTTATCCTTCACGAAAATATTCAAATCTGCTATGCACGCGCTGCTTTTAGTAAGTAAACGCGAAAATTAGTGGAGATTTACATTATGATAAAAATAAATCGTAGTTTTTACGTACATGCAAGTATTCATGGTCAAGCGTGAATACACTGCTAGACAAATTTAGAGCTCCTCAGTGAATTAGCGTAGATTGGTGAAATTTTAAACGAAACCGTGAAACTAAATTAAATATCGAATTAAGACAAGGTTATCTTCACTTTTATTTTGAGCATTGCATGCAAGGAACGTATGGAAATGGTTGAAGCGATACCCTCAAACCTGATATTTACCAGTACTAATGTTTAAATGTGACAGAAAAAACTTTGCAAAATCTAAAGACTGTTTTAACATACCTAGTACATTTTGACGTACAATGTTGAAGAAACAATATTAACGAATTAAACATATTTCTAAGGGAAAGTAATTTTGACATATCATGTTTAAATGAACACTAGCTTGCTACTAAAGATATTGACCAAGAAAATTTAAATAAGTGTACTCTAGTTTCTAAATTTTCTAGAAAGAATACCATTCACGGGGGTGTAGTTATCTTCTCTTTAAAGAAGTGTAACTCTTTTCATATTTTACCAATTAACAGACTATCTATCGAATTGCATTGTGAATTGGCTAGAATTGTTTTTGAAAGTGATTTTCAGATTGTAACTGTGTATAGATTACTTACTTTAGGAGATATAACCTTTTTTTTACAGCAAATTTTAATGGTGACTTTCATAACCCAGCGTAATAATTCTTTTGTTTTTTGTCCGATTTAAATCAAACTGGTCTCAAAAGATAGAGGTCACCAAGGTCTATTTCAGACCACAAAATCACTTTCCATCTTTAAATGCAAGGCCATCTACGATGCTAAATTATATGAAAGGAATCAAAAAATCATAGTAGGCATTTTTTAATCAAAAAATTTTATTAACAAAACTTGTTAATAAAATTTTAGTTTAGTTAAATTCTAAAAAAAATGATGTTTTGATGAAAAAAAATCATTTTAGGCATTTTAATAAAAACACTGGTCTGCAACGAAATCCTCCTTTAAAAAATTATGCTATAAGTATGAAGATTTTAATGCTCTGAATCTATTCCCGTTGGCCGATTTTTTCTAGTCACGTCTAGATTTTTTTATATGAATTTTTTTTAAATTTCATAAATTTTGTTTTTTTTTAAATTTTTTTTTTGTCAACATCAAGAACAGTATACATACATACAAAATAAGTTTTAGCGAGTTGTAAGAGAAAGAAAGAAAGTATTGACAGTGATTTTTATGGTAGTAGATATGCGCATGCGCAGTATTCGCTGTGACTTTACTTTCTTTCTCTTACAACTCGCTAAAACTTATTTTGTATGTATGTATACTGTTCTTGATGTTGACAAAAAAAAAAATTTAAAAAAAAACAAAATTTATGAAATTTAAAAAAAAATTCATATAAAAAAATCTAGACGTGATAGAAAAAATCGGCCAACGGGAATAGATTCAGAGCATTAAAATCTTCATACTTATAGCATAATTGTTTAAAGGAGGATTTCGTTGCAGACCAGTGAAATTATTTCTAAATTTATTTTTTTGAAATACAATTTACACAAATGAATAATAAATGCAACCAATAGCATTAAATATTATGTTCTATCAAACCTCCATCAGCATTTTAAGCATATTAATTGAAATTAAATATGCTAGAATACAAAAAATCAGACAGAATGCTGAATAGATTTATTTGACAACTAATCTGATATTTACAAAATTGTCTTTTAGTAGAAACAAAGGAGTCAGAAGGGCATGCTTATCAAAACAAGAAATTTGGGTGTGGAATTTTTTTTCATCAAAACATCGTTTATTTAGAATTTAACTAAACTTCGGATTCAGGGTTTTTGAATGATTTTGAACAAGTTTTTTTAATAAAATTTTTTGGTTAAAAAAATGCCTACTATGATTTTTTGATTTCTTTCATATAATTTAGCATCGATGGCCTTGCATTTAAAGATGGAAAGTGATTTTGTGGCCTTAAATAGACCTTGGTGACCTCTATCTTTTGAGACCAGTTTGATTTAAATCGGACAAAAACCAAATGAATGATTACGCTGTAACACTCTTAAGTGAGACACACCGTATGTTGCTTAGACGGGGAATTCGATTTTTCAATCTATCCTACATACAGGTTCTTGATGTAGTTAATAATCTAAAAAATGTACAAAGTAAAGATCCTTATGACATGAATATTAAAATTTTAAATGCTTTTAACTATATTATTCTTATTCCGGTAACAAAATTAATTAATCAGCGTATCAAAAACAATGTTTTTCCCAAGATTCTCAAATTGTCAAAAGTTATTCCTCTACATAAAAAAGATCCTGTTGATGGTCCCGGTTGAAAATTGTAATTTGTTTAATAACTCTCAATTTGATTTTAGAGCAAAAATAACCACAACTTTAGCCATTAACATTTTAATAGATATAATAAACAAAGTTATCGAGGAAGGCGAATTTTTGTATGTACAGTTTCTAGATATGAGCAAAGCATTTGATTGTGTGTGATAAAT